TCAATGGTATTTCATTCCGTCTATTAATTTTCACAACCTTTTCTTGTACTTCTTCAGGTTTTCTTTCAATATTTTCATTATCTTGTTTCATCAATAATTTCATCATTCTTATAACATCCAAATGTTTTTCTTTCTCTTTCTTGCTTGAATCATCAGGTTGTTCCTTCTCTGTTATAACAATATCATCTTCATGTTTTTCTTGATGCATTTTTTGTTTGTCCGATGGAAGCCGAAAATAGTTTTGTTTAAAACATTCCTGTGTCTTTTGTATATCCTTGACCTTCATATTCCTTTCCTTTCGCCACAGCACAACGTTTCTCTCACAACATTCCTTGTGAAATCTATTGCGGTGTTTCATTGTTGGGGTAATGTCGGTTTTTCTTAGATCTTTAAACTTAATAAGATATTCTCCATTTAATTGAGATATTCGCTTCCGGGATCTTACATTCAAGATCGAATCGCCTACTCTCGTTTCAAGCGGGTCCATTGTTTGAATTCTCGAAATCGTAGAGTAAATGATAATGTTGCAGAAATATATAAGAATAGTTCCTTGGATAGTAAATTTGGTTTATAATTGTTATCCTACATGTGTACAATGGAATTAATAACGAAACACATGCTTGAACCACCAAATAGAATTGCCATTGTTTTTCTTCCTGACAACTTATTAGACGCTTCAAGGCAAAAACTGAACATTGTAAAATATATCAATAGTTATTCGTAATTTTTTTAATTGAGTCAGAATAAAGACCTTCACTAATTACACTTGATAATAATGTTTAAATATATATATGTAGGACTCAAATCTATGGTGGGTTCCAGATCTATGGTAAATTCCTAATCTGTGGTAAATATGATGTCACAAACGCCAAACAAATCATAAATCTGTGGCAGTTTTTTGTTTTCTCCAAATCTATGGCAGATTTTGATATTACGTAATTTTCCGTGGAGAAAAGTAAATCATAATGTCACAATTAAATAACGTCATAAAAACGGTTTTGTAATATAGAAAGAAAAGAAAAGGCCAGTTTTCAAGGACCCTAATCCATAGATTAAATGATGTTTCAGAATTTGAGTTTATGTTTACGAAAATCCCTGCAAATAAGATGATGTAATCATCTCATTCGGATGAAATAAGAATACTAGCGAACAAATCCATAGTCATTCGTAACAGGAAAATCGCTAGTGCAGGCAATTTCACGCAAATGAATATTTTTTGGTGTTTTCGATGTTTATGTTTTGTGTTTGTTTCCGCTTTTTGTTTTCTTGTTCTCGCGTTCCTGGTATTGCCCTCTATCTCAATTGTACGAGTTTTTACTCTACATTTTGGTTTGCTTTTTTCTTTTCTTTCATAATTTTTCGTTTTGCTATTCTTTTTTCTTGTTGTTTTTTTTTTAATCCCAATGGTACTCTTTAATTTTTTTTAACATAACCATTAGTATTTTGTCAGCTATATAACAGCGACTTCCTGTACTATTGTTGCAAATAAGCTTTATTGAGATTTGAAAACTAAAAAAATCTGTCATAGATTTCTAATAACTATTTACATTATTTTCAGCTATTTTTTTTAATAAAGCCACGTGTTTGAAGCAAGTCATTGTTTATTATAGGACTTTGACTTTAATCCTCGTCAGTTAAAAAAAGATTTATTTACGCTCAATACATATATGGTAAAAAGTCAAACTGCTTTTTGCGTTGTCAATGGACTTGTCGGGGCCTTTTATAGCCAACCACACGGTATGGATTTTTCTAGTTGTTGAAGGCCGTACGGTGGCTTTCACTAAAAGCAGATTTTCCGCTATCTTTGGACATTTCAACTTTGAAATTTTTGGTCAGATATGTACTGACTGGTCCTTCATTTGCAGAAAATCTGCCATAGATTTGAAAACTAGACATTCGCCATAGATCAGGAAACTAAAAATTTGCCATAGATTAGGATTCTAAAAAACTGCCATAGATTGGGGATGGCACGACACCATATTTACCATGGATTAGGAATCTGCCATAGATCTGGAACCCAACATAGATTTGAGTCCTACATATATAATCATATAGGAGATAGGAAAAAAGTTTTCGTCAAAATGAATAGTAATGATCTATGTATCAAAACAATACTAGATAGCTGGCTGGGAGTTCGAAAAAGTATAATTGTAGTGAAAAGCAAATATATCATGTAAATACAATATGTTGAGTTTAATTGACTTTTAACTTTAACATTGTTATATTATATAATGCAAATAGATTTTCTATAGACATTATACAAATTATATTATGTACGCGTGCATATACAATTTATTAAGCTGCTAATAACCTGGGCAATGAATTTAACCTGCATTAGATATATTGCAAAAAAAAATGGTCTCGATGAGACATTTTTTGATATTCTGTTAATGACCCTAAGGCTCATATATATATATATATATATATAGACTTGTACCTTTATGACTAATAACTATGGACTCAATTGTGCTTATTAATGCTTTCACTGTTTTATGTTTTATTTCCGATGAACATGGTCATTGTTTAACATATAAGTATTGTATGAATAAATATATATTGTTATAATTTAATTCAAATGATCCTTGTGTAGTCATAGCTTTCAATAACACTGCAAAAAAGTCTCCTATGAGAGACAATATCAAACCATCGGTTAAAAAAGCAAAATTTTACAAAATTCCTGCAGAGAACTTACATCAACTGCCTAATAATTTCTCAACACGAATTTTTTATATCAATATGTATGCAATAGACATCAAAGTAGCACTGGACTAATGATGGTCATATTTATGGCTAATCAGAATAAATAAGTATTGCAGATGTAAGTAAAGTTACAGAGTTAAGTCTACTCTTTTCGAGTCTCTTTTTTTTTGGTAGCTATACACTGTTCTAGTTTCTAACGTTGTAGTAAACTCCTACAGTTGACTATTAAAAATTTCGCACTGGATTATATGTATATATATGCCTCGTCTAAAATTTAGCCCAACAATGTTGGATCTGCAAATTGTTGTTCTTCCCTCAGCGGGATTCGAACTCCTGCATCTGAGACATCGTGGCAACACCGCCTGCACTGTGTTAAGCGCCATAGACCACTCGACCAACTAGGCTGTATAAAAACATAGCTTTTGTTAGTCGAGTAATGCCTTTCCCCATCACCAACTCTATAGAAAGTTTTATATATTACTCTTTTAAATGAGAAGAGAAATATACCAAAGGGACATTCAAACTCGTGTCGAATATAAACTGACAACGCCATGGCAAAAAAAATAAAAGAAAAGGACCAAAAGACAAAAAAAACAGTGCTCTAAACACAACATAGAAAACTAATGACTGAGCTACACGAACCCCACAAAAACCCAGGGGTGATCACAGGTGCTCTGGAAAGGTATGCAGATCCTTCTCCACATGTGGCACCCGTCGTTTTGCTCATGTAAGTACAAAACCGGTTATAGGTATAATTCGGTAATTTACATTTGGGAAAAAGGAGGACGAGATTGAGGTTACGACGATTGAAACATATTCGACGTCATCTGTGAAACAGATATTATATAACACTCAACCAACTCATGGTGTCGACCGTAAAATTTTCGAATGGAGGATTTCAACTTCAATAGTAGGAACTCTTGGTATAATAGCTTCCTTATTAGCACAACTCTTTATCAAGGAACTCATGACAGGAAACGCAAGCCCTGCAATATCGTTTCAACTGGGAGATATGTACTCCATATGCAGGCGCTACTAGAATGTTGAAAAGTATGAAAACGAAATATTTATTTTTTTTACACATTCCTTTTGTTTGTTTATTTCTGGTTGTTTGCTGTCTAATTGTCTCTGGTTTTTGTTGCAAATATTACGTAGTTTTTATTATAATGTATATGTCATGCATTGTTGTATTGTGTTATTTACTTTTCTAACATTCTTCTCAATCTTATATATATGTTAGAAAAGTTAATAACACAATACAACACCTGCATGTCTCAGCAGGATGAGAGCCAACTAGAACATGTAAAGAAAGAACAAATTGCCAATGAGACAACTCTCCACAAGAGACCAAATGACACAGAAATTAACAACTATAGGTCACAGTACGGCCTTAAACAATGAGGAAAGCCCATATCGCATAGTCAGCTATAAAAGGCCCCGAAATAACAAATGTGGCGGGGTTAAAAATGTTAGCGGGCGCCCAACCCTCCCCTAACCTGGGACAGTGGTGTAACAGTACAACATATGAACAAACTATAACAATCAGTTAAAAAGGGCTTAACTCATCAGATAGATACAAAGCAAAAACAAGTAACAAAAAAATATAGTCTAGATATATACCTAAGGGGAAGGTTTGTGCACACATAAAAAATAAGAGTGCACACGATCACTGACCCATGAATTTAGGTCAAGGTCAGGTAAATCCTGTCTGACGAACAAGGATCCTATATATCAAATACAACATGTTAAGATATCTTATTACTTATAATAGATGAGAAAATCACGTGATTGCAGTTTTTAAGCAGTTTGTTGGTGTTTAATGCCACTTTCAGCACTCTTGGCTATATCATGGCGGCCAGGTTATACTGGTGGAGGAGGTCAAAGAGCCCGGTGAGAACTATTGACTCTATGCACGAAAAATGTCAATCCTTATCGATTAAGATTGGAGTCAAGCGAACCTTGCAACATGCGGCATTAGAACTCACAACCTCAGTGTTGACAGGCTAGTGATTATTGTAGATGAACTACTCAGGCCACTCGGCCACTGATTGAATCTAAATAAGATATGACATCTTGGAAACAAAAAAATGCAAAGAAGGACATAGCAATGAACAAACAATAAACGGCATTTATGACAATTACGAAATTAACCGTTTTGTATTTGTGCGTTTTGGGTTTATATTATCCATGTGGTTTCCAAACTTTTTTGGTATCGAAAGTTATCCGGGAAACATGTGTCATATTCACTATAATCAATATCATACTATTTTTATTATTTTATTATAACTGTAGATGTTTTCACAAAATGTTGTCTTCTGTCTTCTGTCGGCTTCAAGATTCCGTTTCTATGCGTCAGAGCCCCGACTGAAATGATAAGACTGTGTTCGTTAAAATCTATAATAACATTTACGGTACACATTTTACTTACATTATGCTAATTTCGGCGAGTCCAATATTTGTAAATTCAAAACTTTTTAAAAACTTGAAGAGCTGGCAAAACAAAAAAAGGCCCAAAAGTATATAAGTTTCCGTGAATATGAATTTACAAATCTAAAGTATAAGTTTTCATTTTAAAAACTAACACAGAAAATCAGGCATTTTGTAAGTTCGATATTATTTGAATATTATCATGCATAGTTGTCTAAGAAAATTATTTTTATTTGCACATACTGTAGGAAAATTCATTTCATCAAGTCATTTTCGTAATGACTATTTATATAAATGTAGTTTAACTATGCACACAATTTTCAAATTCAAGGTATACTCAAAAATTGATACCAAATAAAGAAAATTGCGAAATTTGTAAAATATAGAAAGAAAACTCCACAGTTTTATTCAGTGGTATTCGTCAAATGTGAATGCTGTTTATTTTCAGAAATTATTGTTTTGTTGTATGCAGATGACACTGTAATTTTTGTTGATACTTATGACTGAATTCAAAATGCTCTCAAAGTTTTGAAACATATTGTACTATGTAGAAACTTGAAGTGAATATTGATAAAAGTGATGCATTTTAGCAAAAGAAAAGCAATAAAAGATTTCGATCTTAAACTTAATGATACATCTCTTGAAATTGTAAATTATAATGGGTCATTTGGTTGTGCAAAGAAAAAACTTGTTGAACAGTCGCAAAAACACTTTTTGCTGTATATACCAAGATCAGAAATTTACATTTACCCGTTGATCTACAACTAAAACTATTTGATTATCTTATAGAAACTATATTTTATTGTATGGATCAGAAATATGGAGATTTGAAAACAATGATATAATTGAAATAGTTCAGCTACAATTTTGCAAGATAATTTTAAATGTGAGATCAAGTACTCCAAACTTTGTGATATATGGAGAATGAGGAAGGTTCCAACTATAAATCAAAGTAACATTGAGAATGTTCTCGTGTTTGCAGTAGAATGGCTATTATCACCGAACTTCGGAAGAAATTTATTCCTAAATAATATATAACATACCCGTCTCTGCTGAAAATGCAAAAGATGCTGTCATTATGTCACTGTCAGTTATTGTATTATTTATCGTTATTTATCAAGAAAATATCTACTCTCATCTAAAAAGAAACATGTACCTTATAAGTTTTGTAATCTTTAGATAGTACTAGAACACACCCACGACATCGCAGGTCCGTGACTGAATTAAAGTACCAATGCCTTAATTTTAGCCTGAATTTTAAGTATTCGTATTGTCATCTGATAAAGTCATGCTGATTGTAAGATGCACATTAGTCTCTGCTTTCAAAATCTTTCTGTTTGAACCCGTCCTGATTTTTTTACTACAATAAACTTACTATAAACTAAATATATTTTTTTAACTAATTAACCAAAAATTAATAATGATATTGAGGTGGAAGAAAACAACTTGTTGAATAGTGCACTAAAGTGTAATATAGATATAAAGCAACTACTGAAAGAATTCTGGGTTTTCCTGATAGAGGAGGGATTTACAGAAGGTAGCAGGTAACTAAAACCGGAAACTACATGTGACATATACTATTTGTATTGTAACGGTATCGGATTTGACCCGGAACTTGTTGTATGCGGAAAACAAAATGGTCTGGAATGGAATGGTGTAATTTTTATACAACACAATTGTCCTATATAAGTCATATATAAAATTAAATTTTTGTATTCGTCGTTTTTACGTCATGCCGGCTAAAAAATTGGACCTCGTTATTTTAGTAGTATACGGATGCCTTTGCTGTTAGTTTTCTATCTATTCTGTCATTTATTGTGTTTGATTTGTAATTTGTCCTCATATAACACATATGGTGTGCCTGATTGTAAATAAAGAATTGAATTTAATTTAAACGGATTGCCTTGAAATTCCGGTTTCATTTAAATGTAAGAGCAATAACTGTAATTTTCAAATCAATACGATATTTTGACCGAAATACCCGATTCACACATTGATTAAAGGAGATATGCAATATACATCGATGAGAGAAACATCAATTGGTAAATATAAAATGTCTTCAACAGGTGTCTATGAAATATGTCAAATTTTAAATAACAACGACTATGAAACAAATATTAATTATGTTAACTGATTTTGAATAAATTTTATATTCCCAACACAACAACATGAAGCCGGGTAAAGGACAAGAGACAACTGCTAATGATGTAGGTTTTGCTCATTGTTGAAGGCCGTACGGTGAAATATAGTCGTTAATGTCTTTGTCATTTGGTCTCTTGTGGAGAGTTGTCTCATTGGCAATCATACCACACCTTCTTTTTTTATATGACAGGCACATGAATAAGATGTTTTCAAAACACCTTGATTTGGGAGCCAATTTTCGTCTCGTTTTCTGAACAGGAACAGGAACTGCTCACATGTCTGAATACACGCCATTTTTTTTTCTGATCGGGTTCGTGCCTTTTATCTTACATTTTTATCTACTGTTGAATTGACTGTACACTATATATCATTATTCTATTCAGACCTCCCATTAAGTCTCTTATCTATCGATCATATACATGTGTTTACTCATCTTGAGCATACTTTTGACTCATTCTAACTGTTACCAGAGTGATACAGTTTGGATTTAATTTGTGAAACAGGTCATCTGTGCACAAAAATTCATATCATTTGGTAAGTTAACTTAAACTTACCAACATATAAATCCACAGCACTCTCCTTCCACTGTATCAGTTGGCAAACATTCGGCCACACAAACTTTTGGACAATTTATCACACCTGTAAAATAACTAAATTGGTTTACAGTTCAAATAATCAAAACATTACAATCAATATTTTTTTCAGTACAACTTATTTTTATTACTATTTGTCTTTTTATTTTTCATCTAGTATTACGTCTAACGTTCTTTGAATAAAGGTTTTTGATTTTCCTTTCATGTATTTTCATTTTAAATTATTTTCTGTAAACAAAGGGATTTATAATCGGCTTATTTATTTCCAACTTTGTTTTCAAAACGTCCTACCGTAACCCCAAATAAAAAAGGATAGGTCATATTATTCTCAGTTTCCTGATTCGAGGGAAGCAACTATCATAATTATCCTTTATTTTCAAACAATTATTACCGTTCTATGACTGATGATCACTTGAATGTTTGGCACTTATGGCATAAACGAAAGTAGAATTGTGATGCACATTTAGTCTGCTGAACATATAAATATATCTGATTTGTAAAAATATATATATACTGTTAATAGTAATCTTTTTGCGCTAAAACCTTTCGATGACTTCCCAATTTAGAAGAATTTCAATTGTGTTCAGAATTTTTAAATTCTTAGACACTGGAGGGTGGGTGGGGATGGGGGGGGGGGGGTAACTTCCTATTATTTGGTATACGGAGATGTGCTTAAAATATGGGTCATCATTTTGCGAGATTTTATATAAAAATGACCCTCCTTTTTAATGACATCCTATATTAAAATGCATTTACGTTTGATAACTGTATATGGATTTGGGGTATGATCTACGTAGCATATATAAATATGCTATTGAGAATCTTACATTGTTAATTGTCAATTATTATACTAAATTAAATCAATTCATTTGAAAGTTCACCTTTCAAATAAGTTCCCAAATGAACCCCGGGAATAATGAGTGATGATATAGATTTAGTGCTTATATATGCATGGGTCTTATTTTAAATATTGTATATAAGTATAGGTAATTCTTTCTTAAATATCTATATAACAATAAATACTGAATTTCAGTGAATGTTATATTAAAATGGTTACGTTTTTATGAGGCAAAAATGGCACACCCCTACCAATAAAATATCGAAGTTAAAAAATCTTGTCGTTCATTTGTTTGTTTATTGACTTCTTTGTCTGTTGAATTAGAGGAAATTTCTTTTTATTAATGAGAGGTTCAATCAGTACATCAATGAAGTTGGAATCATTCAAGACTTTCTAGTCTGTGGGAGTTTATATTAATTACGCCCAGAGAGATATATTTTTTAAAGATTTTTCGGTTTATTGCTTGTAATTTTGTTTAAAGATTTTCTGATTTGCAAACAATCGTATGTTTAGTTTTTTGTTTTGGGTACACGTTTTTGGTCAATAATTAATATTTTGGATTTGATGATATATGATTATTTAGAAAAATTGTACTTAAGTATATATGTCCCTCCGAACATATTTTTATGATCTGTGATAACTAAATCACTTACATTGTTGTGTGGTAGTCTGTGTTGTGGAAGAAGGTGTGGTAGACTGTGCTGTAGGTGTACAACAAAACCTGTTGCCACAACAGTCGTTTGTATCTTGCATTCCATCACAGGTTTCATCTTCACTCATACATGTAGAACCACCAGGACATGTGTCTAGGGATAGCATGATGAGCGATTAATAGATTTCTCACAATAGAGACTTCTTTGTATATAGTTAGGAAAAAGTTAATAAATCTAAATTCATATTTCGAAGAAACAGAGATACTAACATGGCACAAACGTTGTTGGTTGTTGTCTTTTATATTAATTTTTTTTTTTTCATTTATTGTTGCTTTTATTCATTTTGTTTGTTCTCTGATGGAACATTGCCTCATTGGCAATCAGTTAATATTCTTATTTTTGTGAACAATGCAAACACCTCCAATGCCGCGTTCGTCACCAACTGTTCCCTGGTAATCATATCTACCTCTATATATATATAGTGGCATTATGTTACGATCGGTCCAGGGGTCATTATCGATGACGAGCGATATAAAATTGAGATTTGTAAATATTTCCTGTCAAAACTTAATTTATTACAAAACTTCATCAGTACATAACAAACCTTATAAATTGAGGAATGTAAACGTAAATAAAAACGAATAACAAATATCACCTTGTTTAAAATTTAGTCATAAAACATATCGCCCGTGATTTTGACAGCAGCTGATTTCTTTTCTCTTTCCTGGTATTAATGTTATATTATATTTTGTGTATTTTTACAGTCCATGGTCTATCGTCTCACATATTTATTCATGACATTCACAAATAAATACCGATAAAATATGTCGGTCGGTATGACATCCTACGATGATGATTTTTGAAAACAGTTAGTAACTTACCAGTACATTTGCAGCATGCTTTACCACATCTACACCTTACAGGCAGTTTCTCTACATGCCCTCCTAACGAGCTGCATGTATTAGAGTATGAACAATATCCACCCAAAACACCGGTACATGCAAAGTTCGTCTCACCTGTAATTTAAAAACAAATTAGTGTACATATGAACATAAGCACAATCTGGAAACGTCTATACTTCTATGCGTTTGATACTTTTATTTTACCTTAATGACTCAAGCTATATAAATTCTTGAAAGCTCTCAGAATATAAAATGTTTATTTTTATTTAAGATCGCAACATTGTAATCAATAATACATTATTATGGAAAAAAGAGAAAAAAAACTATATGAAAACAGAGTAAAATTTAAATTTACATCACTGTGCTAGATTTTATCGACTTTTAAAATCTTAGAAAACTATTTAAAAAAAATATGACAACCAATTATTTAAAAAAAAAAGGGTTGTGTTAATATTTTACAGTTAATCTTTAAAAAATACTCCTTTTAGCAATATTTCAATTAAGAACTGAAACAGCTAGGTGAATTTCAGGTAAATATCAAGATGCCAGTCCTTAAGAGGACCCCATAATCCCTAATGTTGTTTTAGTCTAATTATCAAATGTTGGATGAATGAATGATCTTTATTCTCATAAACCAAATACATAGTTACAGAGAAGATATTACAATAATAACAAATATTAAATATAGCATGTGTGAAATACAAATTAATATGATAAATATTTACACAAAAGATAAATAAACATATAGTTGTTTTCAACCAGGAGGATAGACTTTCACAGAGATAGATTTAATAAATCTACAAAGTTTCTCAAGCTCAACAATATTTTGGGTTGAACATACTTGTTTGAATTTAATAACATTTATATTTTTATTACAATATTGTGGTAAGTATTTGCTTCTTTCATCTTTCAAAAAATTACATGACATGATATAATGGTATTCATCACCAATGTCAGCTGAGTCGCAAAGGTGACACAATCTTTTAGATCTTGGAATGTTGCGCCACCTTCCCGTCTCAACGGGCAAACGGTTATTCCCACATCTAAATTTACATAAGGTTATTAATAAATTAAATGGTAGTACTGATAAATAGTGCTCAAATTTAAAAACATTTTTGTACAACCTATAACACAGCCCCTTGGGCGAATTGTTCATTTCTGTTGACCATTCTTGAATGAACTGATCTCTTAATCTTTGCTGAACACTTAATTTGACCCAACGTTTCTGAAATAAGTTGTGACTTTGCCATATATTCGACATTCCACAGAAATTAAAAATTTTCTTTATATATGATACCCATTTACAATCATAACCATAGTTATTGAGATTTACATATAACAGCTTGTATAATAAACATGATATTTTGCTCTCTTTTCCTTCTTGTAAGCGACACCAGAAACTAATCATACGTGACTTGACGGTAACTGAAATAGGGTATCTTCCCAATTCCCCATAGATCATAAAATTGGGGGTTGAATTTTTTAACCGTAATATATGCTTGCAAAAACGCAAATGAACTCTCTCAAGAATATCTAAATTTTCGAATCCCCATATCTCACACCCATATGTTAGTATAGGAACAATAGCCTTATCAAACATATCTAGTTGGCACTCGATCGACAAGTTATTTAATCTGGATTTTTTTATTACAGCATACATTGCTTTAATCGCCTGGTCACGTAGATATTTTCTGGTGGAAAGAAATGAGCCACTTCTAGAAAATATGATACCAAGATATTTATAGCTACTTACTATCTCAATTTCATTTCCATCTATATTAAATATCAAGTTTCGGGGTATTCTACCTTTTGAAAATATCATAATTTTCGTTTTATTTATATTAATTTTCAATTTCCATTGTTTACAATACTCTGAAAACTTATCTAACATACTTTGTAAATCATGGCTAGATTCAGCAAGTAGTATTGTATCATCTGCATACAATAACAGAAAAATTTTAAAATATACAAAAAGTTCGTTTTCAATATCTTGTGTGACAGACTGAATTCCTTCATATTAGAATTTTCGAAAAATTCTTGTAAATCATTTAGATACAAGGAAAAAAGCAAAGGAGAAAGGTTTTCTCCTTGTCTAACTCCTGTTTCACAAGCAAAGATATCAGAAACTTCTGAATTATGAACAATTCTAGATTTGACATCATCATACATGTTTTTAATAATTCTTAAAAATTTTCCGTTCACATGGTTTAATATCAGTTTAAAAAATAATGAATTTCGATGAATAAAATCAAAAGCTTTTTCGAAGTCGACAAATACACAAAATAATTTCTTCTTTTTCACCCGTAATAATTCAAATAAAGCATATAATGAAAAAATGTGATCCGTTGTGGAATAACCTTGCCGGAAACCTGCTTGGTTTTCATTTAAGATATTATAATTTTCAATAAAATCACCAAGTCTGTCGTTAAGAATTGACGTGAAAACTTTCCCTAGACAAGACAAAAGTGTAATCGGTCTATAATTTTTTGAGTCTAATTTACTCCCCTTGTTTTTGAAAATAGGTATTACATTTCCAATAAGCCAAGCCTCAGGCAAGATTCCCGTATCAAATACAATATTAAATAAATGTACATAAATATCAACCATACAATCAAGAGAAGAAGCAATATATTCATTAATAACTTGGTCTTCACCCGGTGATTTATTATTTTTAGCCCTTTTCACAGCTTTCAAAATTTCATCCCGGGTTATTGGACAATTCAAATTTTCATTTACCGTATCAGAATTTATATCGTTTTCTATCAAAAACTCATTTTCGTACTTATTTTTGTTTAAGTCCTTGAAAAAATCAAATAAGTTTTGCAGTGAAATATTGCTTTTCTCTCTTTTTCTACCTCTATTGAACAATTTCCAAAATTCTTTTGGATTTTTTGTTTTTAATTCCTTTATCTTTTTACTCATTTCAGTATTATAGTTCTTAATATTAACATCCATAACTTTTTATAATGTAATTCACTTTGTCTGAGTCTTACTTTAAAAATGTTCGACCCATAATGTTTGTATAATCTCTGAGATTTTCTAAATTCTCGTTGCGCCTTTTAACAATCTTTATTGTACCAGTCTTTATTAAACTGGTTCTTTGAGGACTTAAACATGGTTTTATTAAATGTTGAAGTTCCGAATGTTGCCTTAGCAGATTCGGTTAAAGTATCACAAATATCAGTAACAATGTTATTCACATCATATTTAGTAACATTATTTACATCATTTACATATGCAGACAATCTATTACACATATCATCAACTTTATTTCTATCTATATTGTTCTTATACTCATTACATTTTTCATTTTTCCATTTATTAACTTTTTCATCACCACAACAAAATGTTTTTGTTAACAATTTGTCTTTTGTTTCATCATTTGTATACAATTGTAGAGACAAAGGAGAATGTACATCTGAAAAAAGTTTACAAAAATTTAACACTTCAAGTTTACAGATTTTGTATAAAAATTGAGTAGAACTCAACACATAGTCAATAACGCTAGAATTTCTACTAGTTGGACTACCTGTTCTGTTTTCTTCCATTCTACCGTTAAGAATAAACATTCTGTTATTTTTACAAAAATCAATACATTTTCTTCCATACCCATTTACTACAGTATCTATACTATTTCGAAACCTTGGTATACCAAGTTCATCTAAAACACCAACATCACTAAATTCATTATAATCTGTGAAATTATTTTCAAAAGAATACTCTTGATCAATGTTATAAAAATCGGACAAATTTCCCGTGCCACTATTATAATCGCCAAGCATAATAATATAGTTTGTTTTACTACAAAAATTTTGCAATTCAAATTCAATTTCAGTAAATGCATCTTCTGATGTATATGAGGTATTTACCGGTGGGATATATATAATTCCAAAAAGAGCATCTTTTGGCAAATCTAAAACGTTTTTGTCTATACTAAACCAAAGTACAAATTGACAGTCTGACTGAATATATTTAATATATTTGTCTAAATATTTTTTAAAACCTAAAGCAATACCACCTGATTTGTGATTTACTAGCTTCTTTCTATTTTTATAGTGAAAAATAAAATTATCACAATCTATTTCGTCTACATCATCTAGTTTTGTTTCTGTTAAACAAACAATGTCATGTTTATCTAATAATGACTTAAATTCCGGATACAAAAGTTTCGTTTTAATACCAAATACATTTAATGAAAGGATTTCAATAGTTTTATTATTAACATCAATATCTTTATTTACAGGTAATGAATATGGGTGAAGGTCACTAGTTTGAATACATTGGTCATTTTTAACGGTATTGTTTAACCCTCCATGGTCTACCTAGTGCTGGCCTTTACGAGGTCCTCCACGGGATCGTAAATATTTCGGCTGGTTGAATTCTTTTGGTCGAGCACCTTGTTCGTTTTGTTGATGGCGTGAACGTGTCTGTCTATCGTCTGTATCCAGTACGTGTGTGTTGTCTTTCGGTAAAAACTCATTCCCGTCAATGAATAGGCGGTCTCTCTTGAAGAAAGCTTTTTTCCTTTGTCGACGTGCCTCTTGAAAGTGGGGCCACAGAGCCTTCCTTCGGTCGTTTATCTCCTTTGGGAACTGTTCGTTTATGCCGTATTTCGTACCTTTACGTTCACTAGCGGCTTTCCGTACTAGTTCTCGCTGTTTGAAATTCACAAATCTACACACTATATATATATATAGGTTTAGTAATGAACTTAGTTGACCCGTCAGGATTTTTTTCGGTGTACTCTTGTCCAAAACGATGAGCCCTATGGAACTCCGGTAAGGTTGTCATTTTCAATTCAGTTGTCATAAAATTTTGAATAATTTTTTCAGTGTCATCTGACTGTTCAATTTTTTCGTACATTGGGATACCTGTAAAAACCAAATTTTCCCGCATCGACCTAGTTTGTAAATCTAATTGTTTTTCGTTGAGGTCTTCGAGATCCTTTTGCATTCTAGCAATAGTTTCGATTGCTTCTTTGTTTTCGGAGCGAATCTCAGTCAGGTTTTTTTTTAACTTCTCGGACATCCTTTTTGTTACTTTCAAATTCTGTATTTATAAAGTTCAAACCTTTTTCAACCTCGTCGACTCGTTTATTGATACTCTCGACACTTTTGACCATACTGGTTACTGATTTATCAAATTTATTAAGTTTTTCAGCTAGTTTGTCAATGTTTGATAGTTTCTCACATATCATGTCTATTTTTTGGGTTAAATGATCAAGTTTCCCTCCATTATCTACAACAGTTGGATTCATAGTCGAGTGCATTATTGGCTGCATGTGAGTATTTTGTGGGGTTCCAGGATAGAAACCTAAGGTTGATGATGTTGGCGAGGCTTATAAGAAATTTGGATTCTGCATGTTAGGGAATTGCTGATATTGTCTATTATGTTCGATCATTGGAGATTCATAAACAGGAATATTTGGTATCGACATGTTTAAAACAGGTTTAATTGGTTTGTCAGTAGATTTAAGATTATTACTTTTGTTTACACTATTACTATCAGTGTGAGTACTATTCGATTGTCGTTTATTTGGTTTCTCACCACTTGTGTTTTGTCTGTTTGATTTCTTCCTCTTTGGTTTATCACTTTTCTTGGGACTCATATAGAATGTCTATTAAATTTCCACCAGAATGAACTTAAAAGTTTTATCAAAACCACATATAAACACATCATAATCCATTTTGAAATTCAAAATTTGAAGAGCGAAAAAATATTCGACATTTTATTTCACACATGCGCATATCTCTGGAGAAACGTGACTAAACCATTCGATCATTCGCGGTCATTAGCAATCCATACTGTTATAATACTTAATACCCCCAAAATATCTTAAATAAGTAAAAATTATATTCTTGTAGAATACATTTCTATTTTGATTTAACAATACTCAGTAAAAAGGTGTTTAATCAAAATAACGTTTTTATTTGAACAGGTCCATTTTTTACTTTTATTCGAAATTTCATAAATAAAAGTTAGAGTTTAGTTCATTTTAGTTTTATAAACAATAAACGTTTGCTAGAAAACTATTCTAAGAAAATAAAATTAATCAAATCGAAGATACGAAAGAAAAAATGTCTTTTTATCAACAATACTTTGATCCAACGTCTATTCATGGCTTCATTATATTATCCCGTTTTGAAATGGGTGAGGGAAAACCTTATAACCCCTCTCAACAAATGAAATATTTATATTTGTATGCGCAAATATCCAAATTAAAGATATAAAAAAGGTAACAGAGTTGGTCCTTTAATCTAATAATTATCAACTTAAAAGTGGTTCCGTCATTCGTGATTGGTTTCAAACAATGCCATATCTATGTCACAGATGACCACGGATATACTCCAACTGTTGTAGCTTCAACCCACCCTCTTTTCCTATATTTTGACATCACCAAAATGAGGCAACACCGAACGCGTACTTGCCATAAGCATCAAGACGAATGTCACGTGGTGAACAGATTTACTAGCCTTTCCGGAGCACCTGAGATCATCCCTCAGTTTTGGCGGTTTCGTGTAGCTCAGAGTTAACTATTTATATGTGGTGTTTTGTAAACTGTTATTTGTCTGTTCATCGAGTTAACTATTTATATGTAGTGTTTTGTAAACTGTTATTCGTCTGTTCATCGAGTTAACTATTTATATGTAGTGTTTTGTAAACTGTTATTTGTCTGTTCATCGAGTTAACTATTTATATGTAGTGTTTTGTAAACTGTTATTTGTCTGTTCATCGATTATCATTTGAAGATATTTCTTCATCTGATGTTTTTAAATTTTCCCTAAAGCTTTCGAATTTTTATGTCTCTTTTTCAAATATGGATTAATTTTTGTTTATAAAATGACAAATTACAGATTTATATTCGATTATAAACTAAAACATTTAAATAAAAAGGAAGGTGGACGGGCTTATTTCAATATATTTGTTTTACTCACAGGGTCAAAACTGAAAGTGGTTGATTTGTATTTTGAATATAAAAAAAAAATGAATGAAGGAAGAGAAGTTACTTAGGAGGAATCAAAAAATATAAGTTGAATATAAAAAAATAAACGGAGAAAGAGGAGATACTGAGGGGAAATCATAAAGTATAAGTTGAATATATAAAATGAATGAAGGAAGAGGAGATACTAAGGGGGAAATCAGAAAGTATAAGTTGAAAATAAAAATAAAACGACGAAAAGATTAACAATAATTAAAAAAACACTACACCAAAAAAACCGAAAATGAACAATACAAACCCCCAAAATACTAAATGATAAACAATCAACGTGTAAGACTGAAACTATTTACGGATATCACTAACCTTCCAAATGTAATTCAGTGTCAAACAATATTTTAAAGAAAAGTTGATGCTGCAATGTTTTTGTGTTTTTGCATCGTGAATCTGAATGAATTAATAGGTATCTGAAAGACAAGTCAAAGCTTTCCTTCCGCATAGTTTGTTCCGATATAATTATTTTTTTTTGTTAATAATCTCGTTCTTATTAACTTTTTTTAAATACATAATATCACTCACAGTTTGCAAAATTGATTTGTACAGATCAAATGAAACATCTCTTAACAATAAAAAAAAAGAAGACCAAAGTCGTGCAAGTTTTAAACATTTGAAATATACGTTGTACATATGTAAAACATTTTTCTTTTAATTATTGTATTCTATGATCTAATTCAAAAGTCATGCCATACACTACAGAAACTTACTGTGGTAGCTGTATTTATATGTATTTTCCAGGTTACTCACTAATGAACATCGCAACCTCTGTGTACATTGTCATACATTTGTAAGATTCATTTAAACTTATAAAAAAGTCATTGGAAATAACCACTTACCTTTAGTTATGAAGAAAGCCACAATCATCACAAGCATAGTTATTGTAGTTAAAGTATTCCCATATTATTTATCTGAGCGGTATCTGAATAGAATGATTGAAATAACAACAGTGATAGCTTAATAATCTGAACGAGTCGTTTCATTACCATGTGGTCAATAGACCATATCAAAAATGATGTTGACGCTTGGGTTTTTGATTGGTCCATACGTCATTAGCGAGGAAATGCATAACGATGATGGAAGTGTTCAACGTCTTAGAGCAGATAAACGACGGTGAAATTCTAAGAACATATGGTTTCGCATGACGAATCTCTATCCATTAAATTATAGATTTTATATATCATTAGATACGTATACTTTCACTGTTTCATACTAAGAATATAAAACAAAAACGTCATCAAACTTGTTTTGTTAACATTTGTTGATGAGTTTTTAAATGCATTGTACTATTAAACATATCTTCCTTGTCTGACAATATATAGAAATAAGAAGATGTGGTATGAGTGCCAATGGGACAAATCTACATCCAAGTCACAATGTGTAAAAAGTAAACAATTATAGGTCTAAGTACGGCCTTCAACACGGAGCCTTGGCTCACACCGAACAAGCTATAAAGGGCCCCAAAATGACTAGTGTAAAACAATTCAAACAGGAAAACCAACGGTCTAATCTATATAAAAATCGAGAAACGAGAAATGCAGCGGGTTCAAAAATTTTAACAGGCGCCAACCTTCACCCTAACCTGAAATAGTAGTGTAACATTACAACATAGAAGGACACACTATAAAACATCAATTGAAATGGCTTAACTCAATATGTCTAATTATCTGTTAATGATTATTGAAGGTTCAATCACCAAACAGTCATTATCAAATAACAATAACGGTACCAAATGCATATTTCGACAATGCATGTCCCTTCACTGGGATGCTGTCTTAACTCCTTATACTCGTATCAATTTAAATAATTTCTTTTCATTAATTACGTCTTCATAAAAACTAATCAAACTCACAGAATCTACTAGATTAATTCAAGTTTACTATGAATAATAATAATCCATATACGACCAAAAGACAAACAGCAGCCGTTTTGAATTTTCCTTGGAGTACGGTATTTTTGTTATTTTTCTTTTTTTTAAACCCGACAAAGAAGACTCAAAACTGCGCAATACGAACCTAACAAAGACCGGAGGTGATCTTATGTGCTATGAGAGGGTTAGCAGATCCTGCTTCACATGTGACACCCATCGTGTTACTCCTATAAAATACCTGGATAAATCATATTTATCGCACCATGCAATAGCGGATGGATTAATATTCTATACGGTTACTGGAAACTGTATACTTACATTAAGATGTCTTTCGATTTTTTTGTATCGCTGGGATTCTGTCTTATCTCCTTATATTCGTATCAATTTAAATTATTTATCATTATTAGATCCACTAGATTAAACAAAAGTTTAATGATAGGTAAGCTGATACTGCTCCACATGTGGTATCCGTCGTCTTGCTCATATTAGTACAAACCCGATGATAAGTATAAATAGGTAGGTCACATTCGAGGAAAAGAGTACATGATTGTGGTAACGACGATTGGAACATATCCGTCTGTGGAACAGATATTCCATAACGGGTAACCAACTCGTGATGTTGTCCGTAAAATTTTCGAAGGTATGATTTCAACTTCACCACTTGGATCTCTTGTTTTAATACTAGTCGCTTTCTTGTAAGCAGCAACCCTCTATCAAGGAAATCATGATAGGAAACGCAAGCTCTGAAATATCGTATCAACTTGGAGATATTTACTCCATTTGTAGCCACTTCTTGAATGTTGAAACATAGAAATGAAGAGTTCACAATTGGAGAGCTGAAATCATCATTATCTTTGTTCTCAGCCTATCCTCATTGTCAATTTCTGATGAAGGTCAAGATTTGAGGCAGAATTAACTGTATCTGTTGTATCCTTTATTTCAAGATCGATGGGATAGATGCGTTCAACTGTCACCAAACTCTGAATTATTTAGTGAGAGGACATCATCTATAAAGCGGAATGTTGAGTTTAAGGATAATGATAGCTTCTTTTCATTCCTTCTTATAAACTCCTGTATGAAGTCTGCCCTATATGAATAAAATACAAGTCGGCAAGAAGAGGAGCATAGTTGGTGCCCATGAGAATGCCGTTTGTTCGTTGAAAAACACGTTCTCCGATCCTCCGTTGTTTACCAGGGCCTATTACCTACAATTGACAACATTGGATTTATTTAAAAAAATCAACAACCGAGCTCATGAAAAAAAAACGCCTAGTAAGCATATACCAGTGTTGCTTGGAGCTGTTCAAAATGAAGTGTCGCCCTATTGCCTTTTTTGTTAGCTTGGTGCAAATACTCATACACATAAATGATGGGGTAATTTCGAGTGATGAGTTTTTCTCTTTACTACCACTGTCTGTCCTTGCAGATTATTCAACTTTATCTAACATCGCTAGATTTTATCTTTCTCAATTCCTTCAAAAAGAACCACAGTCATACTTTGACCTTTGTCTAGATATAGGTCAGTAATAATAATAATAATAATAATAATAATAATAATAATAATAATAATAATAATTCAACAATTTAACGAAGGTAACTCATTAAAACAATTGTATCTAAATTTTCTTAGAGGCCTTCAAAAATAATCAAATCGAAAAGAAAAAAAAGGAAAACACAAACAAACAAAATTCAATACAACAGTTCAAATATTGATAATAATTCAAAAATTGAATACGTCCTCACGGAAAGCACTTGCAGTCATAGATGTAGCATTTTATACGGATTTTGGAATGCCTATGAAAATCAAAACTACGGAATCGTATGAAAATTCCATGTTATGTAATTATATACAAATACGGCGTCTTCCTGG